ATAAGTGGCGAGCACTACCTTTAATATTAAATGGCGAGAACTACCTCCAACAATAAGTGGCGAGCACTATCTCTAACAATAGGTGGCGAAAACTACCTCCAACAATAAGTGGCGAGCACTACATCCAACAATAAGTGGCGAGCACTACCTCCAACAAAAGGTGGCGAGCACTACCTCTAACAATAAGTGGCGATAACTACCTCTAACAATCAGTGGCGAGCACTACCACCAAGATAAGGTGGCGAGGAGTACATCTAACATAAAGTGGGGATAAGTGCCACTAACAATAAGTGGCGATAACTACCTCTAACAATAAGTGGCGAGCACTACCTCGAACAAAAAGGGGCGAGCACTACCTCTAACAATAAGTGGTGAGCACTACCTCTAACAATCAGTGGCGAGCACTACCTTTCACAGTAAGTGGCGAGCACTGCCTCCACCAATCAGTGGCGAGCACTGCCTCTAATTATAATTGGCGAGCACTACCTCCAACAATCAGTGGCGAGCACTGCCTCTAACAATCAGTGGCGAGCACTACCTCTAACAATAAGTGGCGAGATCTACCTCTTACAATAAGTGGCGAGCACTACCTCTAACAAAAAGTGGCGAGCACTACCTCTAACAATAAGTGGCGAGCACTACCTCTAACAATAAGTAGCGAGCACTACCTCTAATAAAAAGTGGCGAGCACTACCTCTAACAATAAGTGGCGAGAACCAGCTCTAACAATAAGTGGCGAGCACTACCTCTAACAATAAGTGGCGATAACTACCTCTAACAAAAAGTGGCGAGCACTACCTCCAACAATAAGTGGCGAGCACTACCTCTAACAAAAAGCGGCGAACACTACCTCTAACAAAAAGTGGCGAGCACTACCTCTAACAGTAAATGGCGAGAACTACCTCCAACAATAAGTGGCGAGCACTATCTCTAACGGTAAGTGGCGATAACTACCTCTAGCAATAGGTGGCGAAAACCACCTCAAACAATAAATGGCGAGAACTACCTCTAACAAAAAGCGGCGAGCACTACCTCTAACAAAAAGTGGCGAGCACTACCTCTAACAGTAAATGGCGAGAACTACCTCCAACAAAAAGTGGCGAAAACTATCTCCAACAATAAGTGGCGAGAACTACATCTAACAATAAGTGGCGAGCACTACCTCCAACAAAAGGTGGCGAGCACTACCTCTAACAATAAGTGGCGAGAACTACCTCTAACAATAAGTGGCGAGAACACCTCTAACAATAAGTGGCGAGCATTACCTCTAACAATCAGTGGCGAGAACCACCTCTAACAATCAGTGGCGAGAACCATCTCTAACAATCAGTGGCGAGCACTACCTCTAACAATAAGTGGCGAGCACTACATCCAACAATAAGTGGCGAGCACTACCTCCAACAATAAGTGGCGAGCACTACCTCCAACTATAAGTGGCGAGCATTACCTCCAACAATAAGTGGCGAGCACTACCTCCAATAATAAGTGGCGAGCACTTTCTCTAACAATAAGTGGCGAGCACTTTCTCTAGCAATAAGTGGCGAGCAATACCTCCAATAAGAAGTGGCGAAAACTACGCACCGCTGGTTGATTATGCCATTATAATCGACGCAGAAAAATCATATTATATCAAGGAGCAGGTGTTTTAATTTTTTCCATGTATTTGATTACATTTAAATGTATACAATATGTTTTATAAAGGGAATATTCATTACAAATGTTATTAATGCATGCATAAGCATTATTCCATTTCTCATCAAAGCAGCAGAACTAGATAATGTTTAACAATTCTGTATTTACATCCTAAAGCACTAATTGAAGAGCAGATCATTAATTTCTCATTAAAATAGGCTGTTAACATAAAACAAAAGTTCGAACATTGCAGTTTCGAGCGCTATCACCAATTCAAGCTCTTCGGGGATGGAGGGGTGCAGTCGCCCATTTACACTTCTTTTGGTGAGAGGGGAATTGCAGCCCAGAGTGCTTTCGCGTGTTCTGACCTACTGATAGCTTGACGGTGTTAGAAATAATTTAATAGATTTGAATATGCTGTGTACTACAAACACTCAAATATAACTTGAATTTGTAGTCTAGCTTTTTGACGTTTTCAGCAATGTATTTTGTAGATAATTTGAGTTATAGTATATAACCATTAGCATGGTATCGTATGTCCCGACGCCCGACGTGTATCAAGTTCTCGGGGCTGATACGTTAACTCTAGCTTTGCTCGTCGATGAAACACAACTGTTCAGCTTTAAATACTAAGAGAATAAGCAGAAGTCTAAGACCGGTCGTCTGTACCGGTATACAGAGTCTAATTTAGTCCAACAAGTATTCATAAATTATCTGAAAAATCACATTAAATTAACAATGGTATTTATTTGCATACTAATTCAAATTCAAATAGATAATCATATCATATGGGCATTGTATTGGTTAAATCCAATAAAGTATGACATAAAACAGCCCATGTTACAAGTTTTAATCTAATTTCCATAAGGTTGGTCCTAGATGTGTCCAAGACAGCAGGACCTCAAAACCTCAAGACCACGGGGGGGGGGGGGGGGGGGGGGAATATATTTTAGTGGGTATTTTTCCAAAATAGCCCGGTTATTTAAAGTGTTGGTGCCAACACAATTTCAGAAAATTGTTTTAGAAAATAAGATTGATTTTATCTATACATCTTTAATTGCTTACGGCTGAACATGATCAAGTTATAGCTTATGACACAGCTATAACGTATATACAGATGCCATAAACTCGTTGCCTTCACAATCTTTACATGTGTATCATATTCTTATTTTTACTCAAAATAAACCCGGACATTTGATGCTCCGATATAGTATTCGTTATGTTGTCTGTTGCAAAAAACAAAACGGTAAAGTTAACTGCAACACTGATGCACGCAGTGTTAGATATATATTTAACCATTCAGCCGAATTCCATCTCGGACAAGATGCAAATGTCTGCCATTTCATTTAACGAGGGAGAAATAACAGGTGTTACACGTATCTCGTACTAAAAAGCCTGGTCAGCTTACTCAACACATGCAGTTGGGTACTGTACCACACAACGCCGTTATGTGCCGCACTGTACTTCGTTGTACCACACAGCGCCGTTATGTACCGCACTGCACTATAATGTACTTAACTGTACTATAGTGCACCACACTGTACCGCACTGTACCGTAATGTACCGCACTATACTGCACTGTACCTCACTGCACCGTTATATACCACACTGAACTACATTGTATCACACTGCATAATATAGGATAATGAATAGCACAGCATCTTACCGTACTGTACCATAATACCCCACTGTACATCATTGTATCTCAAAGTCCCAACTGAACTACACTGTTGTCTGGTACTATTTCGTGTATTTACCGTGCGGTTAAATCGGGTGCGGGTTGGTACAGTGTAGTTCAGTAGGGACTCTGAGATACGATGCTGTACAGTGGGGTAGTATGGTACAGTACGGTAGGATGCTGTGCAGTGGGGTAGTATGGTACAGTACGGTATGATGCTGTACAATGGGGTAGTATGGTACAGTACGTTACAATGCTGTACAGTGGGGTAGTATGGTACAGTACGGTATGATGCTGTACAGTGGGGTAGTATGTTACAGTACGGTAGGATGCTGTAAAGTGGGGTAGTATGGTACAGTACGGTATGATGCTGTACAGTGGGGTAGTATCGTACAGTACGGTATGATGCTGTACAGTGGGGTAGTATCGTACAGTACGGTATGATGCTGTACAGTGGGGTAGTATGGTACAGTACGGTAGGATGCTGTACAGTGGGGTAGTATGGTACAGTACGGTACGATGCTTTGATGAGACAACCACACTTGCACTGTAGCACATGTTAATGTATTATTACAAGGATGTCGTTTTATTATTATTATTTTTCAATTGTCACAAGTCATATAAAACGTTTTAGTCATATAAAAGCAAATTAAAACATGTTTACGTTACATTTGAGAAAAGTCTCAAAAAGATTTTCAAAAAAGATACTTCGTCCCAAATCTAGAACATTCAATTATTAAAGAAGACGTTGTTTGCAAGTTGATCAGACATGGCACACCTAACAAAGCGCGTACTGTACACAGATGTGCCCGGACGCTGGACGATATATCAGGCCCTGTCTACACACATGTATCAATAGAACGGTGGCTTATAAGTTCAGCCTCGGATGTCTGGCCGTAGATATTATCTACACAACAAATAGGTACATGGAAAACAACTTATTTTGTTACTTTGGCAGACAATGTAAATATCACACCTACTTCAAAATTCAACGCGTGACAGACATGTGTTCTTCCGGAAATACTCAAACCTAAATTCAACTCGTGATACACACACTATAATCTATTTCTCTTTGTCCAACACTTCATACACATATTATATTCTATTTCTCTAGGTCAACACTTCATACACATTTTATATTCTATTTCTCTAGGTCAACACTTCATACACATTTTATATTCTATTTCTCTAGGTTAACACTTCATACACATTTTATATTCCATTCCTCTTTTTCCAACATGTGATACATCGACACATATGCCATTTTTCTATTTCAAACACGTGATACACATTTTATATTCTATTTTTCTAAACCTCTGTTTTCAAAATGGGTTCAAACAATTGTGATGATTTTAGAATATATATATATATATATTTGGTAAGAAGTCATTACACTACTTCAAATCATTTTTTGACATGCCTGTTACGTAACAAACCTCTGGGCGTCTTGGTATGAAGTAATCGGCTAGGATTCAGACCCTCCACATCAGTTGGACATGTTCTGGGACTCTGGACATGCAGGGTCAGTAATAATAAAGGGCGGCAATGTGTCAGAAGGGCCCATTACATTTCCTGATATTTGTATACTGGTTATGTAATGGTATCCTGCCAATCTCTGGACAGAGTGTACACATACAGCTTACAGGTAAATATCTGATTAGGTTGACAAGTAGCCTACACATTGACTTACCTGTATACGTCGTGTGTACCAGTCGCGTACCGAACACTGTTGTCGTGTCTGTCTAAGTCGCTGTCCGCTTGATTTGGCCAGAGCACATTCTATTCTTAGGTTGCCCTAAAGGTCAGTCGTTACCAATATAAGGTCAGTGGCCTTATCCTAGTGGTCACGCCTGACGTGAACTGACCACCAGATCTGGAATGAAAATAAAAGGAAAACTTGCTTTTGAAATCAGATACGGCTTAGCGCTATGAGAAGGACCAGATGAAGAGGCAGCTTTAGTGAGAGAAGGTGGATGGGGAATTCTAGAGAAGCATGACTGGGAGGGGGTTATTTATTGATGATGAAGATATGGGTATGAAATATAAGGGCTGGGGAAGGGAGGTCTAGGGACTGGGAGGGCGAAGCTAGATCATCAACAGGAGGGTGTTACAATAAATAGCACTACTGTATGAAGGGAGGGTGTAAAAGGTACCGTGGGGATGGGGGAAGGGAGAAAGGCATCGAAGTAAGAAAGCCATATAAACCAGACATTATGTTATACGGCCTTGTTGCAATATACACAAATATCCCAACATATCTACTAACTCGCCGATAACAGCTCGCCCTGGGCTCTGGAGAGCACAGGCTTTACCGTGATTAATGACCGGCTGTACGAATCATAATGATGACCATTTCAAGATGGCTCCCGGTACCGACACTGTTGACTGCTGATTAATAAAACAGAGCGAGAAAAATAACATACTATGTAAGATAGCTAATTGCAGCATTCGGTGTACCGGATACTGGAGACATTCACTCCGGACGAAGATGTCGCGTGTTTACCTTCATGAATAATTTAGAGCAAAGAATATCTTCTGCAATGCACTCTGCTCAGAATTCTGAACTGGATTGTTGCAAACAAAAACACGCACGCGTTTTGAAAATTTGTCGGCGATGCTGTTCTGAATTATTTAAGCATTACACTGCTTAGAGTTGGCATTCATGGTCATTGCGAATGCCAACTGGAACGTGATAGCAAACGTTGAACTAGTATCGCCCAGCTGTTTTAACGGTATGTTTATTATGACGTCACTGCAATGCATCAAGCAAATGTAAATATTATATTATATAAACACTTTCAGTTTTGTAATTATATAACGCATATAAACCACCGAACCTTCCTAGGAGGGCGCGGTGTGGGCAAGGGTTTCAACAAGCACCACGAATTTCATTCTGAACAGTAACAAGTATCAGACAAAAAAGGAACGGTTACAAGTATCAGACAAAAAGAAACGGTTACAAGTAGCAGACAAAAAAAGGAACGGTTACAAGTATCAGTCAAAAAAAGGAACGGTTACAAGTATCAGACAAAAAGGACCGGCTACAAGTATCAGACAAAAAAAGGAACGACTCCAAGTATCAGACAAAAAAAGGAACGGTTACAAGTATCAGTCAAAAAAAGGAACGGTTACAAGTATCAGACAAAAAAAGGAACGGTTACAAGTATCAGACAAAAAGGAACGGCTACAAGTATCAGACAAAAAAAGGAACGACTACAAGTATCAGACAAAAAAAGGAACGGTTACAAGTATCAGACAAAAAAAGGAACGGTTACAAGTATCAGACAAAAAAAGGAACGGTTACAAGTATCAGACAAAAAAGGAACGGTTACAAGCATTAGACAAAAAGAAACGGTTACAAGTATCAGACAAAAAAAGGAACGGTTACAAGTATCAGACAAAAAAGGAACGGTTACAAGCATTAGACAAAAAGAAATGGTTACTAGTATCAGACAAAAAAAGGAACGGTTACAAGTATCAGACAAAAAAGAAATGGTTACTAGTATCAGACAAAAAAAGGAACGGTTACAAGTATCAGACAAAAAGGAACGGTTACAAGTATCAGACAAAAAAGGAACGGTTTCAAGTATCAGACAAAAAGAAACGGTTACAAGGATCAGACAAAAAGAAACGGTTACAAGTATCAGACATAAAAAGGAACGGCTACAAGTATCAGACAAAAAGGAACGGTTACAAGTATAAGACAAAAAGGAACGGTTACAAGTATCAGACAAAAAGAAACGGTTACAAATATCAGACATAAAAAGGAACGGCTACAAGTAGCAGACAAAAAGGAACGGTTACAAGTATCAGACAAAAAGGAACGGCTACAAGTATCAGACAAAAAGGAACGGTTACAAGTATCAGACACGTTAAAGAACTTTGATACATTATTAATTATCAATCTGTTTATCTGTGCTTTATCTGTGACGTTGCTAACAAAACTACAAATAGACCGTCACCTGTGTCAGTCGCGTTAATTAGTTTAGGACACAATGCCCGGATAATGACTAGGAAAGATGACGACCCATTATGTAGAAAGCACCAGAAGGCCAACAGTGGTATCACCGACCAACAACCGTCATTGGCTTCCTTGTTGTATGACCTACTGCTCGAGGTTAAATACGGTTGAGTAACCGGCGAATCTGTGTTGGGATCTATGACAATAAGGTTTATAAAGGACTCAGTTATATTCGACACACAATGCTAACAGGTCTCAGAAATATTTGCAACATTGTCGATACAATTATCAAGCATGTTTATAAAAATGCAAATTTACGACGTGTAATTTGTCATATATAAACGAGACAATTTGTAGGGAAAAGTAAATATATTATCCGGGGGGCCAAAGTATTCATCGTTATATATCTTTAATATATTATACGCAACAAAGGCAACGTCATTAATCATTGGGGGAATTAATAGCAAACACGGCTGTAGTTAGCATCATTGAGGTAAAATAAAACCGGCGATACTTCCGTAAATATTCAAACTTAAAAAACAATATACATGTTCTGGGATTAAAAATAATTAATACAAGATAATAAACACAAAAAAACTTATACATATTTTATATGTTTCCAAATGGATTTTAAAATTTGATTTAACGTAGACATATTCTAATTCAATGAAGCTAGACACTATATCCTGGTATGATGCTTTGCTACCTTCAAGGTCGCTATCGCTCTAATCCAATTAGCTGTGGATTTAGACCCGGTTTCTATTGAAGCGTTAACTCTGTGGTATGTAGCCTTCTGCTGTACAGACCTTCATTTAATTTCTAAAGTGTAAAATATGATAGATTTTATTCATTCTTAACATCATATGTATTTTAAATTGATTTGATTAGTGAATTTATCCTTGACAAGTACAGCCATTCAGTGTTGAATTGTTACGAGGGTTTAGGATAACGTAAGGCATTAATAGACAATTTGTGATTTACACTCTGCAAGTAAATGGTCATTATTAAAGTGAGCTGGGGGACCAAGTAACTCAATGAAGGTACACAGTTTTAAGCAAACATGGCAAATAATTTAAAAAAAGAGGATACAATTCGTTAACAATCAGTTTTAGTTGGGTTGATAAATGCTTAGCATTGTTTAGAGTTGATATTTTATGTGCTGCATTTCGGTTATTTTTTTTCACAAATTGTGTATATCGTACATTTAAAGCAAAAAAAATGTCTGGCCAATTGCTCGTTATAACTCACCGTTAAGGATTATCTGTGTATTTTGATTCCTGCACGGCTGGACCATGTGAGGCTATGACGTAGTGTCGTTAAGGTCTAGCACGGAATTAGATTATATCCCTGTTATCTAAGTCTAGTGACAGTCGCTGTAACTCCTACTTGCCACCTTCAATAAAACACAGTAAGACGAATGTCATCTTGGCTTGATTTGACCAAAGAAAATATATAGAAATAATAAAGACAAGTATATAAAGAAATGATATAACCAGAGATGCCATACCAAAGACATCGTTGCTAATACAACAGACCTTCGACCTTCAATGTTAAAGCTGTTGGTACACAATGTACCTTAAATGTTCATAATATCAACAAATAGTTAATTACGCAAGCAAATTGTTTTCGGAAGCAAATAGGTAAAACAATTCTTATTAATGTCTCGACATTTGTACAGTTTATATTACTTAGGGTACTTATAAACATATTAGTTCATGATTGAAGTGTTAGCGTATTTGAATTGTTTGCATTGATGAAATAATTGCTGAACATTAGATTTCATTTATTATAGTAAGTGACGAGCAACACAATAAGGTCACACATGGGGTCAACGGTTTTTAACCGGGTATCAAAAAAAGGCGTTAAATGAATTACAAAAGTAAATTGTAGCGTGCTTCTGTAAAAAGAGGTAGCTTTCGTCTCTATCGTTACCTAATAGTATATGGTGTTGTGAACTTTTCCCCATGAGGGTTGACTAAGTTAAACGGTTCCCTTTTCAATGAATTACTCCATGCGCAATAAATGTACGCTGATAATTTTCCGCTGTCGTCCTCGGGCAACTTTTTGACTGCTCCCGAAATAGTCACAAAACAACTGTATACTGCCAACATTGAGCGATTTATTGAGAGTGTAATGTTGGTTCACTAATTCCTTAAAAGAGTAAACAAACAGTTATATATAAAGTAATGCGACATTATATGGCTATTGACGAAATAATATAAACATCTTTTTGGGTAGCGGTTGTGATCGACGAGGCGATTGACACTGCCCAACGAGACGGGTTGATAAAGCTCTACCGATAAACGGCAGGTGTGTAGTAAACGTACAGGTAACTAACACGGGTCACCGTATCACCTGTCAGGTTAATTATCCAACACACAGGTAGTACAGAGATGCCGATAGAACGTAGTACTATACAAAGGGCCGGCTTAGAAAGGTCAACACGGGACCATCCCAGTCCAAACAACACAATCAGTGGCACTCGTTCACAGATACAGTTCTCTTCCTCAGATGAGTTTTCAACCGATGTACACACTTCACTTACTTTTTTTATTTGATACGGACCCATACAACTATATCAGTCAGCTCTTAGGTGATGTGACGAATCGTGAGTCACAGGCATTCCCTGCTCATATTTCATCGTCTACTCTAATAATACACTTTGAACAGTACATAAGATACCGATACAGATCAGTCCGTGAACGTTGTTTGAGGAAGTTGCGTTTCAGTTTCATGTAAAATACGCAGAAGTGTACACATTTCTAAAAATTAAACAATTTAAACAAAAACCAACAT